ACAAGTACGATGGTATCCACGTCCCCGTCCACGTCCGCCATTCCAACTTCAAGCTGCCCTCGGATCCCCTCAAGCCTGTCATTATGGTTGGCCCTGGTACCGGTGTTGCTCCTTTCAGAGGTTTCGTCCGTGAGCGCAGAAAGATGGTTGAGAACGGTCAGACCGTTGGTAAGACCATCTTGTTCTTTGGCTGCCGCAAGTCCACCGAGGACTTCTTGTACTCCAAGGAGTGGGAGGAGGCCAAGCAGGTCATGGGAGACAGCTTCGAGATTGTTACTGCCTTCTCTCGCGAGAGCAACAAGAAGGTCTATGTCCAGCACCGGCTGAAAGAAAGGTCCAAGGAGATCAACGAGCTCCTTGAGAAGAAGGCTTACTTCTATGTTTGCGGTGACGCCGCCAACATGGCCCGTGAGGTACACAATGTGCTGGGCCAGATCATTTCTGAGGAGAGGGGTGTCCCAGAGGCCAAGGCTGAGGACATCGTGAAGAACATGAGGGCTTCCAACCAGTACCAGGTATGTTTTAATCCTCTATATCACGTTTACCAAGAGCAATCACTGACAACACGTTACAGGAGGACGTCTGGTCATGAGCACAAATCAAATACGGGAGGTGACGGGTGGTGTGTTTTGTTTTGATCTCATTGATTTAGGGGGTCTATTTTTTTGGCTGGCTGGCTGGGGCTGGAATGGGCTGGGAAAGAAAGGGTGGCAAACACAATTTAGCAGGGCGCTAAAAGGCTGGTTGTCAAATTTGTATAGCGATTTTCCATTGCAAACTTTCTTCATCACACGCACACACACACCACATTGACACACACACACATTACATGCATGGAATATAGAATGGACCGGGTGGGCGGGGAGCACACTATGATATATCAGGCTCCAAAGGACAAATTCATTTGGGGTGTGTGGAGGTTGGGTTGGGTTGGGTGTTTTTTTCTTTTTGGGAAGAAGGAAGATTTTTATCATCTGTCCATATCTATATATTTTTGCACAGCACCTTTGTTACGTGGTTGGGTTTGTGGCGTGGTGGTGGTAGATTACTCCCTAATTGTTATTTTTTTCTTCTCCGAAGAGGTATCGTTGGGATCTTGGTTTAAGCACACCATCATCAAGTACAACCACACTCTCCCAATGCATCAATCACACAACTACTTGACCTGCACAACCCACCAAATCCTCAGACACTCGTTATAATCATTCTCTAAAGACACACATGAAAGTGTAACTCGAATAACTGACACTGATTATTCAGCATGTTGCCGCAATCCCGTATCAATGATGGGCTGCATGTGATTTCACTGAGTCGTAATGAAGGTATGTATGCTCAATTAAACTGTTCTCATCTATGGTTCCCGTCTCTACAGTGCGATGTGGATTGGTGGTGTTGTGAATGATACAACCCTAACCCCCCTCCCCCTACCAGATGAGATTCCCTGATCTCATCATTGGAAATGGGGGCATCCCTGATTGTTATCCCTTTGTATATTTCCCATTGTTTGTTGGGCATGTGAGGGTTTTGGAGAAGAGCAAGTTTGAGTAGTAACGAGTAATGATGGCGTCGGGGGTGAACTTGATCGTGTTGTCTGGTCGGTGGCGTGGTTGTGTACTGAGTGTATGATGGAAGGTCCCGACGATGGGGCTTGGTCTTCGCTCTTTCTCATGGCTACACAACCTTTGAGTGAGTTTAATGACTGGCTGCAATGACGATCTACAGACCAGATTGGCCAGGGAATCTGTCCGGCAGGAGACGTGCAGGTTTAAAGTGTATGGTTGCTTCATGTCTCGGAGCTCTGGCTTTCCTTTGCTTCCTTGGCATCTTTCCGTCTTTTGTAGGTGTGTCTTCGGTCAGCTTGGTGCAAACAGCCACAAATATCCCGTTCTGAGCTGAGAAATGGAGGGATATTTTTTTGTTGTTTTTATTTTCTTTCGTGGGCTAAATAGCGTCTCTAGTATTTGGGTTATTTGTTGAACTACGTGCCCCTTTTAGCCCCCTTTTTCTTCTCGCTGATGCCAAGCCGCTGGCACTCGCACATAAAAGTCGAACTTCATTTCATCCCGATGCCGACTGGACCCAGAAATCGAAGCAGCAAATGGGATTTTCCAAGGAGTTGACACCAAAAAAAGAAAATCCAACGCACAGTATGAGAAACGTAGGGAGAAAAAGCAAGATACAGGCGGTCGGGCGGTGTCTTGTCTCGGGACGGTCACGGTCTTGCTGCCTGTCTATGCAAGAAAACAAAACACGCATGTCAACAAAAAGAAGCAAACGAAGGATGGAATCCACGGGGCATTGCAGCGCACAACACATACATGCTGCAAGCAAGATGCAAAGGAAAAGTAAGGAGGCCCATATCCCACCACCTGTTTGGAAGGTTTTGACGATGGGGGTGGGTGGTGGACATCCAGTGGTGGTTAGGTAAGTCATGGTGTGGGAGCACCGGTGGAAAGCCACCGGGGAATTTCACTGCCCGGGGTTCGACCCCAGAGACATATTTCTCGCAAGTGACTGAAACATTGATGAACCTACCTTACGCAACGGCCAATCGTCTTTTCTTTTTTCTTGTAACCTTGGGATGAGGGGGTTGAGGCGTGGGTGTGCATGCAGCAGCCGTCTATCTATTCCGAATTCCAACCACTCAGACCAAAATGCATATTGCATACAGCGAGCCATCACGTTTTCGGGCAAAATGGACAGAGTGGGAAGAAAGTCAAACCATCGCGCCACGCGAGTTCAACAGGCACACACATGCATATAACAGTGGAGAGAGAGAGGCGTGTTTCCAGAACGGTCAACGGCGATCTTGCTGGAGGGCTTGGATTTCGGGATAGAGTTATCTACACGCCCCCACCCCCCTCTCTCAGACCCTGCTCATTCCCGTCCGCATATACACTCACATGCTAGATGTATGCCCGCCATGGATCTCCTCTACTACCTGTGGCTGCCCACCCGGCAGGCTGCTTGTAGGTCGTGGTCCGCAGACTATGTGGCCTGTCATCGGAGATCTGTTCCGTATGGTTGAAAAAGGGTGGTGGCGAAAACGTTCTTATACCCCGACATTTGCTGCATCTCAGTCTTGGATCTGACGGTTGAAATCCTCCTTTCTTCCTTCGCAGAGGACGAAAAGACCACACACACCAACTTCACATGACGAACCCCATCTATTGCTAGTTGAAGTCTCTTCCCTTCGGATTGTTGCCCTCCAGTATCCTTATCCAGTTTTTCATCTTCAGCCAATATCCTACGGACTGTCTGTTGCACACATCTTCTTTCGACGGCATATTTTAGCCAGTCACAAGGTTGAGGCATAACTATCAGCGGCATCAGTATTCGAGAAGAAATTGGTACGTCATCATGTAAGCTTCTTACTGAGAGATCTTGGAAAGGGAGCGCTGATGACAGGAACAGCGAGAGATATCGGCACCGATCGAAAGGAAGCTCCAAAGTTTGGAAGGGCTGCCTCGTCTGGGTACTTGACCCGTGCTCGGCAAGCCACAACCCTACCAGTCCCGTTGTCGCCGTTCGCGGCCGTTTTATTCCACCGGGCAACTCATATTGTGGACGAGATAGATTCAAGCTGGAAGCCATACCCACGACGATCACAGCAGTTGGCAAGTGGCTTGTTGCAACACCAACTTCCAGGTTGTTGACTTCTCGATTAAGGGTGTGGACGTGTGGAACTGGGGAGCCACGTTTGGACGAGAGTTCGTGATAAGCAGGAGCAAGATTCGACACACTACACGTTCGACATCCCACATTCTTGCAAGTAAAGAGCCTGATAGAAGGGTTTGCGTCATCACATGCTCCCGCAGGTTCTTTCCTAAAGGTGCTCCTTCCCCGTCCAAACAGAACAGCCCGCCCAGTCACCTGGAGACGGGATCGCTCCCAGCTGGAAGTGAAGTGCAAGAGTAACATCCACCTGCCCCGCCAGCCTCGTCCGTAGCCATCCTGCGCCTTGAGCCTTGCTCTTTCCTCTTCAGAGTTTTCATCTCGACCGCCAACTTGGAAATCAGCATCTCTTTCGATTCCGACGGCACTCTCATCTCCTCCCCCATCCCCCGCTCCCTCGGCACCGATACAGCATCGCTAGGCAGTAACCATCACATTATCTTGCATCCGTACCTCACCTCCACCAGCTACTGCTATCTAGTCCGTAAGTCAATCTTCCATTTTAAGGTATCATTTCTGCCAGGAAAGCGCGAGAAAGGGCTTCCCAGTGGTTGTCTCCGCGATCCATTCTCCGCCTTACCCACCCTTTTGAGCTCGTCTGCGACCACCTACCTGCCCTCAACGACCCGTGCCTTCCTCCAGGCCTCTGCCTGCTGTGTTTCAACAGCAGGAGTAGCATGTGGTCAGCCACAACATTCACTTCTTGCGGGTCTCTCCTCGGTTCCACTCCCCAGGGCGGTAGCGGTCACTTACTTCACTTTACTTCACCCTGGTCGGTGTCGTCCCATCTTCCTCTCTTTTTAAAACATTCACCATCCATTCCCATCTCCTTGTTTTGGTCTCTTGTGGACTCTGCCTGATCTCTCGTTACAGCATCAACACACCAGTCAGACCCCGAATCTCTTCCATTCATCGCCGATAGCTCGATCTATCCCCTTACTCCAGCACTCGCTTTGCATTCAACAATTTGGCCTCTAACATTCTCCATCACTGAGTGGCTCGGTTTCTTGTATTCGCAGCATCTGTCGAATCAGCAGTACAAGACAAGATCATTTTGGAGGTGTGCGCGACTTTTCTCTTTCACTTCAGCGACTCTCCCTCATTACAGTTCTTCCTCGCGACAACTTAGCTTTTCTGTCCCATCGCATACTGACTCTTGTTTTGTTGCAGTGATCTCTTGATTCTTTCCCTCAGAATTTCAAGGTACGCGACAACGAACTCCTTCGTCCAATCTTCCACTTTCCTACTTTCTCTCGACCACCATCGACCTTGTCCAAGCCCTGGAGGCCATCCTAACATCCTGCCTGGGGAACACATCGCTAACCATGTTTTCAGACTGTATTTTCGCAACCATGTCTCATTACCGCACCAACAACGGCATGTCCTCCGAGGCTGGCGGCAACCGTCAGGGTACATACTCGGCTTACTTGGGGGCCCAAGTTGGGCACAGCCAGCAGGGCTTACATGGCTCTCATGTCCATCACCTTGGTCACAGCTCCGAGGGCATGGACTCCCTCGCGAGCCAGTTCGGTGCGATGAGTCTTCCACCCAGCAATGGCCACGGAGCCTCCAACATGTCGCAGATCCAGCAGCATGGATACATGACCGCCCAGGAGCAACCTGTCGCTTACCAGGGCTACTCAGTTCCTGTTCATGTCGGATTAGCCCCCGAGGCTGCCTATGGCTACAGCGTTTCTGGCCAGTATCCTGTTCAGGGGAATTACGCTCCTTTGCCTGTTCCGTACCACGCCATGCCCTATACCCCCGGTCGCGTTGCCTCTTATGCCGATCGTAGCAGCAGCGAGGTTCCCGCTTTGGAGAACCGCCGCGGCTCATACTCAACCACCGAGTCGACTCCGGCCACTCCTTTCTTTGGTAGCGCTTCGGAGCGTGGTGCTGGCTCCCGTGTTGCTGTCTTTCGTTCAAGCTACACGACCCCTTCTCCGGAGCAGGTTGTGATGCCCGGTACCGCTCCCAAGGCCTCCTCGCAGCCCATTGACGAGGAACTTTTGGAGTTGCTCAAGGTGAATCCAGCAATTCCCGAGGCTGTCCCGGCGGTCTTTACCCCGCCCACGCACATCAAGTCGATCGAGCAATGTCTCGAGAACCGCATTCACGGCAATCGCAATGTCTACATTCGCGGCTTGCACCCCACCACAGACGACGATTTGCTGCACCGCTATGCTTCTCGTTTTGGAACCGTTGAGCAGAGCAAGGCCATTATTGACACTGCCACTGGCGCTTGCAAAGGGTACGCTCCCTATCACCTCAGCTTCCCCTTGGTTGGACTTTTGACTAACATGTTTTCTCAGTTTTGGATTTGCCAAGTTCGCCGATGTCCGCGACTCGGAGAAATGCATTCGCGGGTTCTACCATCTTGGGTATGAGGTTGGCTTTGCTCGCGTAAGTTCACTATTGCTCTGCGGCCCTCGGTTCGTCCTAATCATGATCACAGGAGAGTTTCAATGCGAGACTGAAGGCCGAGGGCGACGAAGGTTCGACCAATTTGTACCTCTCCAACCTGCCCAAGCGTCTCAACGAGTCGGAGTTGAACGCCATTTTCACTGGCTATCATGTCGTGTCCAGCAAGATTCTTCGCGATAGCATGGGCAACAGCCGTGGCGTCGGTTTTGCTCGGTAGGTTCTTCCACACTGGCTGGTTGGGCAAGCAAGTTGCTAATTCCGTCTAGGTTCGAGTCTCGCGAGGAGTGCGAGCAGATTATCAAGCAGTACCATGGTGCCTCCATTGGAGACGAGGGCATGTTGATGCAGGTTCGCTACGCCGACACGCCGGCCCAGAAGGAGCTCAAGCGTATCACCGCCGAGCGTCGCCAATTCCGCACGAACGAGTACAATATTGGTGCTTATGGTACTGCAGATGTTGGCATTCACCCCAGCATCTACCAGCAGGCCCCTTGGACCCGCCGCGGTGGCGTGGGATCTGATATGTGAGTTGCTTTTCCCATACCACTCGGCACGATTGCCTGACTAACCTTCCATGTAGTTCTTACGCTCCTCGCGTTCCTGTCCGCACTAGCATTGGTACTGCTAGTACGAACACGACTCCAGTCATGTCTCAGGGTCTTGGTCGCACCAACTTGATGTATGTCCAGCCCCCACGTCTTGTGGTTACTCTGGCTCAAGATGACTCACATGCTGTTTGCAGACACAGCATTCCTTCGGTGACTGCGTCTTCGGATGATGGATCAGCCGACGAGGGCGTGACGGTGGTCGACTCTCCCACCGTCAAGAAGGGCAGTACCCAATCGTCGCCCACCATCAAGAAGGATACCGCCACCATCAAGAACGAGAAGGCATAGAGATGGATGCAAGTTGATCCCTGGACAACGACAACCACCATGTTGAAGTAAATTTCTGGAACGTTGACAACAACTTTCATATCTCGAGAGATTCTGTTCCAGACAATATCGATTACGAGTTTATTGTCATTTCGGTTGGAGCGCGGCGGCCTTAGGTTTGTTCGGCGAGTGTTTGGGCTGCCCCAGCACACATAATTACCTCTCTGCTATATTTAGTGGACGAAAACATGTTAGTCATATGGTTTATCAACTCGTTTTCAGAGAGGGTGGAGGACGGCAGCAAGAATTGTTTGTTTTGTTTCTGTGTTAATATTCTCTGGGAGATTCGGTGTAGTTTTTGTTAGCTTGGTAATCGACGAATGGAAGAGATCGATTTTAGCATTTTCGCAGGACAGATTGCGGTGATCGTGTCTTTGATTGCTTCCTGTTAGATTGCGACAAGTGTACATGTCCTGTCAGGCGCAGTCCAGACAACTTGTGCAAAGAAACGTGAGGTGAAATTGCTTTGAGGAATGAAGACAGCGAATAGAGCACAACAGGACCCAACATGGGAGTTCAGAGAGTAGAAGTAATGAGATATGCGCAGTGCTATGAGAAGATGATGGAAGTAATACAGACAAGAAAAGAAGTGGGTGATACATGTCAAGGCCATAGCTATAGACAGAGCTCAGTACCGTCATAGCTGAAAGATGGGAACAAGGTTATGTGTTGGGAGGTTGTAGCAAATCAACTTGGGGGGTTTCTCATTTTTTATTTTTGGGGGATTACCCTACTTACGTCTTGTTATTTATGCTCAGTTTCTCCATCCCTTGTTCAGCTCCTGATTCTGACGGAGATTGAAACCCGATGACTATTGATGGTTGTTCTTCCTTCTCTTTCTCATCTGTGTTCGCCTCTTCTCCCTCCTTGTCTTCTTCGTCCTCATCCTCGTCGTCATCATCTTCCTCGTCATCTGATGGCTCGAACGCCTCTGGATTCTGCAGCTTCTCCTCCTCGTGCTGCCTGATAGCCGCCTCGAGGTCCTTGGCCATCTTCTTTGTGATACCCGACGCCTCCAGCGTGGCGTCTAACCTCTGAAACCCGTCTCTTCCAACCGTCTTTTTGACATCCTTGTAAAAAGGGCCCGGAGTGGTGGGCTTGAAGTGAAATCGGCGCTCGAAAAAGATCTTGATGCAGTTGATGTCGCGGTCAAAGTACATTTCCGCATTCACATGCTCCATGGAGATCATCTGCGGAAAGTCGATGACGACAGGGACAAGCGTGATTTCTTCGGTTCCCGTTTCCGGGTTGGTGGAGACGTCCTCCCGGATGAGGATGTTGAACTCGTTGTAGTCGCCGTGGATGAGGCCGTGCTTAGCCAGGCGGAGGTAGAGTTCTATGAGCGAGGCGTAGAGGGCTGCCGGGTCGGGGACGGAGGAGATTTGGCGGAGGGGGGGCGCGTCGACGAGGGACATGACGATTGTGTGGCGGGAGTGGGCGATGGGGGTGGGCACGGGGATGCCGGCGGAGTGGAGGGCGGAGAGGAAGGCGTATTCTTTGCGGGCGGCGAGGGTGGAGAGGTACATCCAGGAGCCGGAGGCGTTCTTTTTGAGGTAGTCTCTATTGGTTTTTACGGTGCGGAAGGAGATGCGGCCGAGGCGGTGGATTTTGAGGATTTGCTGGGCGCCGGTGTGGTCGGCTACGAGCATGATGTCGGATTCTTTGCCGACGCCTACGCGGGTGCCGACGGAGTAGATGTGCTTTTTTTGGGAGTGGGTGTGGAGGGCTAGGTAGTCTAGGCCGCCGTAAGTGAGGCGGTAGCCGTCGTATTTGGCTTCTTTCATCTTGGCGATGAGGGAGGTTTTGGCGAGGGTGGAGATGCATTTGGAGACGAGGGAGGAGCCGCCTTTGAGGCGGGAGAAGCGCTCGATGATGGGGACGGGGACGAGTTCGTGGTTTTTGGAGCCTTGTTCGACCTGTGGTGGTGGTTAGTTGAGGTGGCTGTGAAGGGATGGGATAATGGGGTTCATAGGGGGGTGGTCCGTTGAGGCCAGCAAGGTACATGATGCTGGTCTTGGTGGTGTGAAGGAGGGGCAACTTACAGCTGCGAGGACCTTCCAGTCCTCCGCCGTTAGATGGCGCATAGCCCGTGTGTCCAACTTCATGGTTGCGACTTGACTGATATCACCTTATAAAGGCTGTATTGTGAAGCAGTAGTTTTCCCAGGATGAGTTCAAAGGCCAGGGTGGGATATCAAATGCGCGCCCGGATTCCCTTAAGTGATGTCTGTCAGTGCCCCTCCATTGCATTGCGCTGTGCCCACCAAAAATTCATGGCCCGTCATGAGCGATAAGATCTTTGATAAGATTAGATATGAACCCAGAACAGCCCCGCCTGGGCACGAGGGTTTGACGAGGGAAACGGAATTTGTATTTACCGGAAGATTCTTGGCGGGCGGTGAGCTGACCTCACCTGTCAAGGATCTGGGAGACAAAGGGTCGAGGTTAGCTCAGTGGAGCACTGGCCACTCAGGTTGGGCCCGCCTTGTGTCCCAGTGCCAGGCGGCCAAGCAGTGTCGCGTAACCAGCAAGCTGCCTGCCCGCCTCAGCATCAACGGGAAGAATTGCTAAGCTTTCTTCCATCTCCGACTCCAACACCGACATTATTCAACTGTTTACGAACCATTGCCATTCATTACAGATTACTGCCATACTGGGGGATTTGCGACGCCTTATCCAACCCGTCAATTACCAGGAAACCTCCCCTCACTTTTGACCCCCGCCACCTTCCGCAGGCCCAACGGAGCTTGACAACATCCCATCCCTTCACACATAACTGCAACCATGGCGCAGGACAGCGACCTGTCGAAGACCGCCGACAAGGGCAAGGGGAAGGCTGTAGATGACGAGACACAGAAGGACAAGGCCGCTCAGCCTGTGGAGAATGGAAAGAAGGATGATGACAAGGCTGAGAGTGCGTTGACATTTGCATGGGCATCATCGACAGCAGAAGCGCTTGCTAACACCATGGTATAGCTTCAGAAGAGCTTAGCGAGGAGGACCAGCAGCTGAAGAACGAGCTTGATATGATCGTTGAGCGGCTGACTGTGCGTTGCCATTTGATTGTCCTTGTTGCTGTGGAACATCTACTTAACTGTCTAACAGGAATCCGATACGTCCCTCTACAAGCCAGCATTGGAGGCTCTAGGGAGCTCGATCAAGACCTCAACCTCTTCTATGACAGCTGTCCCGAAGCCCTTGAAGTTTTTACGTCCACATTACGAGACCCTGACGAAGCTCTACGATGAATGGCCAGCGAGCGATGACAAGAACTCCCTTGCCGATGTGCTCTCGGTGATCGGCATGACCTTTTCTGACGAAGACCGCCAAGATACTCTCAAGTACCGATTGCTTGCGCCTACGCAAGATATCAGCTCATGGGGTCATGAGTATGTTAGGCATCTTGCTCTGGAGATCGGCGAGGTCTACGGGAAGCGCATTGCCGCCGATGAGCCAACAGCGGACCTTGTGGACCTTGCCTTGGCCTTGGTTCCCCTGTTTCTCAAGAGCAATCAGGAGGCCGACGCTGTCGATCTAATGAGCGAGCGTAAGACTTGCCTCCCTCGATTTTTTTTAGGAACCTGGAAGGCTAACATCATCGCTCATAGTCGAGATTATCGAAGAGCTGCCAAAGTTCGTGGACGAGAACACATATGGGAGAGTCTGCTTGTACATGGTGTCCATGGTCAACCTGCTCACATACCCCGACAACGAACAGTTCCTCCGTGTAGCCCATGATATCTACAAGACCTACAAGCAGTACACACAGGCCATGGTGCTTGCCATCAGACTCAACGACCTCGAACTCATTGAAGCCGACTTCCAAGATGCCCCTGATCTGGCGCTCAAGAAGCAGCTTTCCTACTTGGTTGCGCGCCAAAGAATATGGCTCGACAGCGATAAGACCGATGACGAGGAAATTCAAGAGTGCCTCTCTAACGTCAAGCTTCCCGATCACTTCAAGGCCCTGGGCAAGGAGCTTAACATTCTCGAGCCCAAGACCACCGAAGACATCTACAAGAGCCACCTCGAGAGCAGCCGCGTCGCCGGCCTGACCAACTTTGACTCGGCCCGCCACAATTTGGCTGCCGCATTCGTCAACGGGTTCGTGAACGCAGGCTTCGGAAACGACAAGATGATGCTGGTTGCAGGCGACAAGGAGAGCTGGGTATGGAAGACAAAGGATGAGGGTATGATGTCCACAGTGGCCTCTCTGGGCACGCTTCTCATGTGGGACATCGAGAATGGGCTTGATCAGGTAGATAAGTACACCTATCTTGAGGAGGAGCCAATCCAGGCCGGTGCTTATCTTGCAATTGGCATCATGAACTCTGGCGTTCGGTTGGACTCTGAGCCTGCCATGGCTCTTCTTGCAGACAACGACAAACTTGCCCACAAGAACCCGCTGATCAGGGTATCGGCGATTATGGGATTAGGTCTTGCTTATGCTGGGTCTAACAAGGCAGAGCTTTTGGACTTCCTGTTGCCCATCATCACCGATACGACTCAGCAGATGCGGGTATCCGCCATGGCTGCTCTTGCTTGCGGGTTGGTATTCGTGGGCTCTTCTAACCCCGAAGTTACCGAGGCCATTATCACCACGCTCTTGGACGATGACCGCAAGGGTCAACTCACCGACAAGTGGACACGATTCCTTGCTCTTGGCCTGGGTCTTTTGTTCTTCGGGCGCCAAGAGGAGGTAGATGTCATTCTGGAGACTCTCAAGGCGGTCGAGCACCCGATGGCGAAGCCTACCTCTGTCCTTGCTTCGATCTGCGCTTGGGCCGGAACTGGTGCTGTGTTGAAGATTCAGGAGCTGCTCCACATTTGCAACGAGCACTTGGAGGAGTCAGAAGAGAAAAAGGGCGACGAGCTCTTGCAGGCCTATGCTGTTCTCGGTATCGGTATTATTGCGATGGGTGAGGATGTCGGCCAGGAAATGGTTCTCCGGCAGTTCGGCCACCTCATGCACTATGGCGAGGCCAACATTCGCCGAGCCGTACCCCTGGCTATGGCTCTTGTCAGCCCAAGTAATCCCCAGATGAAGGTGTACGATACACTTTCTAGATACAGTCACGACAACGATAATGATGTTGCCATCAACGCCATCTTTGCCATGGGTCTGGTCGGTGCCGGTACCAACAACGCCAGGTTGGCTCAGCTTCTCCGCCAGCTTGCGAGCTATTATCACCGGGATCAGGAAACCCTCTTTATGGTCCGCATTGCGCAGGGTCTTGTTCACATGGGCAAGGGCACCCTCTCCATCAACCCCTTCCACACCGATCGCCAGATTCTGTCGCGGGTATCGGCTGCTGGTCTCCTCACTGTTCTTGTGGCGATGATTGATGCCAAGCAGTTCATCACCTCGGACTCGCATTATCTGCTTTACTTCCTTGTCACAGCTATGCATCCACGCTTCCTTGTAACGTTGGACGAGAACCTCAAGCCATTGACTGTCAACGTGCGCGTTGGTCAGGCTGTGGATGTGGTTGGCCAGGCTGGTCGCCCCAAGACGATCACTGGGTGGCAGACACAGAGCACGCCAGTGTTGTTGGCGCATGGTGAGCGTGCTGAGTTGGAAGATGAGGAGTATATTAGCTTGAGCAGTACCCTGGAGGGTCTGGTTATTCTGCGCAAGGTAAGCATTTCCGGTTCACTTTCCCATTCTGCCAGGAGGCTGACATGCTTTTCTTACAGAACCCCGATTGGGAATCAGGCAAATAAGGGTCTTGTGTCAGCGGAAGGGTAGGGTAGGGTATTTGGTGGTTTCTAGCAATAGGTTTTTCTTACCTACCTCGCGAAGTGATAGAGGAGGGGAAAAGAGGGCTTTTATGCGACACTACATTGTACAGTACAAATAAAGGATTGGACTTGCTGAGCGTTCAAGCAAATTGAAGCGCAAGTCGAATTGCCCTTGTAGGTCTCCAACCTATTTTGGTTTCAAGATACAGCCTCACCTCCATTGCCATAAGCTATATCACCAAGCCATTGTCAATCCTGCTAACCTCCCCTTTTCTTTTTATCTCCCGCAAAACTCAACGCGATCTGCTTTCATTGTCATCTGCTTCTCTTCTCCTTGTTGGCAAGAGAGATATATTTTGTGAGATTGGCGGACGGAGTGCTATGATGCTACAGGAACACACAGAAACCACACTATCACACATGGCATCATCTTGACGGACACGTCGAGTATTGAGATCCGAACTACCCGTTTCCATGTCAAAATTCAATTCAACCGACGACGACGCTAAACGACCTGCTGTGAGGTCTCACAAGGTATTTGTTCTTGACAAGAGAAAAGAGCAGCGAGATATGAACCCGCAATATGACACACAGACATAGACGCAACGAGAGAGAGAAAGAGAGGAAAAAAGACAGATTCCATACAGACAGGACCCAACAACCTTATCCCCATCCCCATTTTCAATCACACAACAAGCTCCATCTCTCCTCCTTTTCTTCCCTCCCATCCTGTCACCTATTTATCCTTCTTAATCCCAAAAATATTCCTCTTCTTCTTCTTCTTCTCCTTATCCTCCCCCATTCCCACCGAAGCCCCTGTAGCAGTACTACTCGTCCTCTCATGGCCCCCACCTCCCCCCGACGGCCCCCCTGGGCCACTACTCAACGTCATCTGCCCCAACGCCTTCGTTGGCGGCCTAGGACCCCCAGGGGGCATCTGCCCCCCCATTCCCATCCCTGGCGCCCCACCCCCGGGTTGCGGCGGCCTCACCTGCTGCTGCGGTGGCGGCGCCGGCCGTTCAAACAGATGCGCGGGCGCCTTCTTGGGGGGCTCATCCATCGGCAGCTTCAACCTCCTCCTATCCGACTTCAGATGCCGCAAATCTTCGACGAATTTATTCGGCGTCTGCATGTGCGACGTAACCAAGTAAACATCTCGATTGTGTTTTTCGGATACTTCATAGCAGGCTCTAGCTTCGGAATACGTCGCTCCACCCGCGACAAAAACAATGATGCGCTGTCGGTTTTCAACTTGGCGGCGGTTGGCAGAAGCCCACCTCGGAGCGGCAGAGCGGAGGGAGCCCTGGGTTTGAAACGCGTCATCCGCCTGTCCGCCTGCTTGGGGTGGGATGACATAAGGGAAGGAAGTCTGATCCAAGGTTCCAGAGCAGAGGTCTTCAAGCATGTGTTTAACCGCTGGTTCGAATCTCGAGAGGGCATATTCCTCGCTCTGGACAGCGGTTTTCGTATTAGGGGGGAAGAGAGGGGTGTTGGGTTGACGTGGGGGGACCTCTTTGAGTTGAGCTTTCAGGGGGCGAGCACCGAGTAATTCGAGGTTTTCTATCGCTGCCTTGTCGGTACTTTCTCTAGATCGTTGCAACGATGCATGCCATAACAACCGAAGAAGATCCTGGTCGATCATCCCGTCGCGGTAGAGGGCGTACAGCGCCACGAGCCGGAGACGGTCGGTGGGGGCAACGTCTTGGTCGTCTAGCAGACGAACAACTTGGTCGAGGATATTTTTGGGCTTCTTGAGGTCTTCGTCGAGGCCGGTGGCGAGGGTTTGTTCCACTGAGGCCACCTCGGAGAGCTTGAACTTTTGGAAGATGTTCATGGCTTCTTGCGCCATGGTAAGATGTAGACTATAGGCTTGCTTCATCTCTTGGAACTGAGGGAGGCCGGCCAACATATCTCGAATGTCGTTGAGGCTGGTCTCGTTTTCGTTCTTTCCGGCGAAGTTGGGGTTTTTCTCGATGAAACTCTTGAAGTCTCCCATCAGCTTCGCGATTGTATCCGCCATGTGCTTGTGCCTGTTGTCCACCCATAACTTGTCTTTCTCGGTTATCTCCACATCCTTCTCTTCGGCCTGGGGTAACCCTTCGTTGATCACCATATGATAGGTAACTGTTCCGTTTGGTTGCTCCCTGAGCGGTAGTACATCGTGGATGAATGATTGGTAGGAGAACTCGTGAAGTAACGGCGCCATCAGATCCATAGACCGGTCCGTGATTAGCAACACTGACTGAGGCCGGGTAGTTTGTGGCGGAAAGTTCTGGTCCACTTTTTGTAGCCGCTCGATCTCGTTTTGGAGGAAGCGAGCCAGGTGAAAGGAAAGAACTCCAGCTTCATGGGTCGCGGTCTGCGGCGCATAGTAGCGTATCCTCGGTGCTTCTCCAAGCGTGTGGCAGACAGAAGCTATCTTTTGCGCCAACGTCGTCAAGTGCCGTGCTACTAGATCATTGCAACTGGGATTATATAGCACTTGAAAGCTGGACGGGTCTTGGAAGGTAACCAAGTGTGATTCTCGGGGGTAGAAGTCGACGAAGAGGTTTTGAGGGGGAGCTGCTATTTGCCTCCGGGCAGCATCAACACGCCGTGCTAGGGCATCGGGCAGAACCCCGGTCCATATCAAAAAAGCACTTCGGTAGCGGCGGCGTTCGAAATCGGCCATGAGGCAATCGACGGCAAATGGTGTAGGCGATATCACGTAAATTGCGTCCATGGTTGGATTGGGCTCCCGGCGCTCCTCGATCCTCTCGATGTTCGCGATATTATGGTTGAGAATGTCATCTTCGTTGACGGTGGTGTCGAGAATCGCCTGTGTCGTCTCATCGAGCACCAAAACCTTCCAATCTCCTCGGGTGGTATTACGAATGATGTCGATGATGGACTTTTGGTGCTCCTTGATTATCGAGACTCCCTCCATTGCGGGCGCGATCAGGCCGGACCCTGGTTCAGGTTCTCGGCACTCGGCAAGGTGTCTAGGATCTGGGGTGTCTCGAAGAATGTACGGAAGGGTTGCCGGTCAGGAATTCAATTTCGCAATCAAGCAGTGCCAGACAGGAGCAGAGGCAGGATTTCTGACGTTGCGATCAAGCCGAAACTCGAAACACGGAGCGCAAGTTGGGCCTACTGCAAGACGTCCCCACTACAACTGCCAGCAACAGGATCGCGGCGCGTGCCACCCGCCGAGCCTCCTGCAGCCCATAACCCTAACCCTTTCAAGCTAGGCATTGAGGTATTGGGGTCCATGTTATCGATAAGCCCCCGCATTCTTCAGTGGACCTTTAACCACAGCCAAGGAAATGGTTTGGCAATGATCTCATTCCCAGACTCCATTTCAGTTTCTTCGAGCTTTGTTGAAAACCAGCCTCCTCAACAGTTTGAGGCGAATAGATATACGAGAGTGCTGCCTAGATTTTGTATTACCATAGCAAAAGCATTGAACATGACCCAGAGACCTGGTTACCGGACGGCTGAGGTTCCATTCTTCAAGCACGGTGCACCGGGTGCAGTTTTGGTGGGTGCTGGGCACTGGCCTTGCTGCACCACTACGGCGCGGGAACCCTTGGCTCCGATCGAGTTCCATAGCCCAGCCCCCCCGCAGTCGATTGCCGTAGGGTGCCGTGAGTCTGCCAATTGGTCTCCCCCGATTAATGATCACAGATATTCCGACAGTTTGGAACCGACATTATGAGCCGCAATGCGGGCTTTGCGTAACGGCATGGGAAAGGGGTGTTTTGGTGATAACCTCGGAAGCAATAACATCGTGAGATGGCCTGGTGAAGCATCAACCCGCCTCCCCCCTCGACGACGGCGTTTCGACGCCGATCACCAGGCCGGCCCAATGTTTGACCGAGCTACAGAAACCGTACATGAGCCCTCCGGTCTGCGGGGAAGCCGGAAATACATGAAAGACTCCCAGGATCATCTTCCCTCCATGATCCCATCGAACCACCAGACCGCTTCACAAGCACAGCCCACCTTTGCCCACGTTGCGTACCTTGACCTTGCTCTCAGGAGAGACGAAAGCGGCCGCTATCCCTCGTCTGGTTTTCACTACTTCTTCATTACTGCATGTCACACATGGCTGGTGATACGACTGCATCACTGGCTTGGCCTTGACAATGTCCCTCCAATCGACAAGGCTTCTCGCTTGCCATTTCCTGCATGCTTCTCTTATCAGAATGTAAGTTGTCGGTGAACCCCACCAGAAACTACTGTGGTTACGTACAAAAGTTTTGCCCCCTTGTCAAGTACCGCCCAGGGCCTTGTTTTTTTGGCTAGGCCAACTTCGGCCAAAATTCTACCGCAATTTCCTCCAGACCAGTATTTTCCACCTTTCAACACCACTTAGCCAGCCAGCCAGCACCACAATGGCTCCCAATCGCCACCTTACTACTGAAGAGCGTCAACGAATTCGTACCCTTTATTTCGACGGCCACCTTAGCCAACCCCGAATTCAAGAAACCACTGGTTATACGAAATACCAAATCCGCCATGCGATACGAGCCCCGGCGGCCGAGGTCGCCCCACGATCTGGCCGACCACGCGTTATTACGGCCGATCAAGAGCTCGAGCTTATTCGGTATGTGTGTGAATCAAAGGCACACCGTCGGATGAGCTTCCTGGAGCTTTCTATTGCCCTTTTCAACTCCCTTCTTAACTGGATTACGATTCGCAACGCCCTTTACCGCCACGGATTTCGCCGTCGAGTTGCTCGGAAGAAGCCTCCTATTTCAGAAGCCAACCAGCAAAAGCGACTGGCCTGGGCTATAGAACATAAAGACTGGACTCTCGAACAATGGCGTACAATCCTTTGGAGTGACGAAACCTGGGTAGTTGGTGGTCCTCACCGTAAGCAGTATGTTACACGCCGAATCGACGAGGAATGGGACCCTACTTGTATCGTTGAAAAGCACCAGAGAAAAGGAGGGTGGATGTTCTGGGGCTGCTTTTACGGCTCAACTAAAGGCCCTGGTATCTTCTGGGAAAAGGAATGGGGATCGATCAATGAGTATTCTTACCGAAAGAATATCCTTCCTAACGTCCACGAATTTATTGACGATACCTTCGAGCAACACCATTTACAGCTTTCTTTTATGCAGGACGGCGCACCTGGCCATCGAGCGGCCGGTACGAAGAAGGATCTTGAGAATAGGAAGATTAGAGTAGTTGATTGGCCTCCTTTTTCCCCAGATTTAAACCCTATTGAATCCTGTTGGAATTGGATGAAGGATTATATTGAGGATAAATACGGCCTTGAGGAGAAGCCGTCGTACGCGAAGTTGAAGAGGTACGTGGAGGAGGCCTGGCAAGAGCTTCCGGAATCTTACCTTCAAACGCTGTTGGATTCGATGCCCAGTCGGTGTGAGGCAGTAATTGCAGCGAATGGTATGCATACAAAATACTAGCTATAGATATGGTGATTATTTTGTAGAATACAATCGTCAGGGTGGACCTTGACTAGCGCGAGTACTTGACAAGAAGGCAAAACTTACCCCTGCACCACAGTAGGATCTTAGCTCTTCGATCCCCTGTTTGCTCATATTAGACGCATACATGGGACATGACCTACATGACAGAACTGTGAATGTCATGGGGAGGAGCGCAAGAATTCCACCACGCAAGAATTCATGAGTGAATATCCGAATGAGGATGCTAGACCCGCTTGCCCACTAGCAATGGGAGCAACAGGATGAGGATGGGATGGTCTCTTAAGGGCGGGTGCTCGCCACGGCTTGACTAGAAAATACAATCGTACTCTTGTCCCGTGTCCTTCTCTCGCGACCCCAACGTAGTCTTGACACTTGTTGCTGCCCTCGACCTCTTGTGTTCACTTACGGGACACAACCGTCCCAATCGCCCATCATGAGTCACTCTCAGGACTCCGACCTCGAGAGACAGGAGCCTCACACCTTCAAGAGCGCCCTGACATCCATCCTCACCGTCAAGGATGGCGAGGTCTACGAGACTCATCCTGACAAGAATCCCAAGTGGTACCAGAAGCTGCTTGACATCGGCGTCGAAGAGAATGGCATCAAGCCAGTACCGCTTGAGCAGCGGACGTGTACGCAGTACAACAACTTGTTCACGGTCTTCTTCACCTGTCTTCTCTGTCTACTTCCGTGGGTCCATTTTCCCGTATTCCTGTCAGCATGGACCTCACTAACCCGAAGGATCTGGCCCCAGTATCCCAACCGGCATGCTCGCCACGTTGGGCATGGGCATGAACTTGAGAGACGCCTCTCTCGTCATCGTTTTCTTTGCCATGTTGACTTGCATTCCGCCTGCCTTTATGGTGATTGGTGGCATGGAGACTGGGCTAAGGCAGTTGATTCAAGCGAGATATTCCTTTGGGTACGTATTGCTCACTCTTCCTCCCCTATTTATCATTTTTCCTCTTTCCATCTAGTCGAAATACTAACCAGCCTAGCCGCTACCTCGTCACCATTCCCCTTCTCCTCAACGCTGCCACTCTAACTGGCTTTTCCTTGCTCTCAGCCGTGGTGGGCGGCCAAACCCTCGCCTCTCTCAACCCAGATCAACTTTCGGTCAACATCGGTATTATCATCACCTGTCTTGTCTCCTTTGCCGTCTCCCTCTTTGGCTTCAAGGCAGTCCACTTCTGGGAAAGATGGACCTGGATCCCCAACCTCATCGCCATTGCCATTGCCTTGGGCTGTGGCGGCAAGTATCTTCACCTGCAGACAAACAACCCACCGGCAACCGCTTCTCAGGTCATGACGTTGGGTGCTCTGATCGCGGGGTATTTCATTACATTTGGAGGCACGGTGTCAGATTACAGCATCTACCACAAACCAAACGTTGTGTCTCGGTAAGCCTCCCCCTTTTCTTCTCTATCCAGACAACGTCAAAACACTGCCCGTCTTGTGTTCTCCTAAAGCATCCCACACCGAGTTTCTAACCACCCTTGTCCCCGCCAAATTCCAGATTCCGCGTCTTCGCCTACACCTACTTCGGCCTCCTCCTCCCGTCGGTCCCCCTTCTCATCCTCGGCGCCGCGATAGGAGGCTGCACCCCCAACATACCCTCCTGGTCCGCCGCCTACGCCACCACAGGAATAGGAGGCATCTTGTACCAAATGCTCGTCTCCGTCCTCGGCAACTTTGGGAAATTCATCCTCGTCCTTTTGGCCCTCTCCGTCATAGGAAACATTGCCATCTCGATGTACTCCATCAGCGTCAACCTCCAGCAGCTCCTGCCGTTTTTCGCACAAGTTCATCGGTTTTTCTTTATTTTTGTGGCCATGGGACTGTTAATTCCGTTTGCGATCAAGGCGGCTGAGGCGTGGGAGGAAAGTTTGACGAACTTCCTCGCGGTGATTGGGTATTGGGCTGGGTGTTTTGATGCGGTTGTCATAACAGAATTGGTGGTGTTTAGAAAGGGGGATTATAGCAGTCATGATCACAAGATCTGGAATGTTGGACGGAAATTACCGCCGGGGGTGGCGGCGCTGGGAGCGAGTTTGTTGAGTTTGGGATTGGTGGTTCCGGGAATGGCGGCGCCGTGGTATACGGGCCCGTTGGCGAAGGTTACGGGGGATATTGGGTTTGAGAGCGCTTTTGTCGTGACGGGGTTGGGGTATTTGGTTTTGAGGTGGGTTGAGATCAAGGTGGTGGGACATGTTTGATTTGTTTAAATGGCATACTTGGCATGTATATGCCTAAACAGACAGTTAACCTAGTATTAGCTGGCTCAACTGCGCAAAATCCTCCCGCAAAGCACCACGTCTTCGCCGTGAGGTTGCCAGGATACATCCCGCAGCTTCAGTTGTGACGTCTGTCCTTGTTGTCGTGAGGGTGAGACTACCACCCCGCCTTTGCCGAGCCAAGTTGGGGCGATGGTGATGATTACCGAGTCGACGAGGCGGTTCTCTGGGTCGATGAGGAGAGAGTTGATCACCTCCCCTCCTCCCTCTACCATGACACTTCTCACTCCTTGCTCCCCCAAAACACTTAACACATCCCCCCATTTAAACCTCCCGTCCTCCCCCGTTTCCAAAACCAAAAACTTGCCCCCTACACGTTCCAGCAACTCTCCCCGTTCCTTAGTCTCCCCTCCCCTCTTAGTCACCACCCAAGGGCCCTTCCCCTTAAACTCAGCCGCTAGACGGATTACCTGGCTGTCCTCGGTGAAGTCCCAGCGACCTTTTGGGTCGAGGATGATAGGGCGGGGTTGTTGGTCGAGAGAGGTGATGCTTCCTAGCCGGGAGTTGAGGGCTGGGTTGTCGACGAGTGCGGTGGTGCACCCGACGAGGATGGCGTTGTGGCGGGTGCGGAGGTAGTGCGTCATTGATTTGGAGTAAGGGCCGGAAAGGGTTGTGCGGACGCCTGGGGCGAGGGAGAGGGACGCATCGAGGGAGGTGGCGTAGGTGAGGGTTAGGTGTGGTTTTGAGCTTGGAGAGGGGGAGGTAAGGGGGAGGTAGGGTTCTAGGGGTGGAATGGAGGTGGGGGGGAAGGAGAGGGTTTCGCGGGACATTTTTATATTGGGGGTATGATGTGTAGATGCAAGTGGTGGTGTATAAGCGGGGCAGGTATATGTGAGTTCAATATGAGACCAAAAGGCCTCAAGTTGCTGGCTGTGGTGATTCACCCCTGCCAAGAAATAAGGGGTAAGACAATCGGTCAGAAAAAAAGCCGGTGGTGTAACTTTGACCGGGGATCAGAGCCAACGGAGGTGAGGCGGTCTCGATCGGCCGGTGCAAATACCGGCGATGACTGCAAAGGTGGGTTGCTGATGCGATGATGCCACACAAAGAGCAATCATGATCAGTTGTCAATCAAGAGGCCGCCGATGACAGCAGTCACTGGCAGCTGGCAGTGTAGCTTGTGCAGAAGCAAGGAACAATCAATGTGGGGTTCATAACTTGCATTAAATGCCACGAGGTTGCAGCGATGGCTTGTGGATAACTCCTCATCAAACACTCCACTCTATCCTTCTCGAAGGCAAGGCTTACTCGCTGACACGAACGCCATAGACGCTCTCATATGATAGACGCTGGTTTCACTCACGCTCAAGACTTGATGTAGCTACATGGATAAGAGATGGTTGACGACGCTTCGTGGCGCAGCCGCCGGAGTTCTAGAATGCAGAGTGTCAATCTTCCAAAATGTAGTGGCACATGATAGGGGACCTGAATGAGACACCCAAGGTTTGACCGGAGCAGAACATCAGGCTCTGAGAGCAACCCTCCCGAGGCTCCCGTGATTTGCCATTGAATCCCGTTCTTTGTCCGTGGTTGACACATTTGTCGAGCTCTCCCTTGGTTCCCCTCTTCTCTTCGTCTGGTCTTTTGCTCTCCACCACCTGGAATTGAATTATTGCAAAAAGAAACACGGATCGTCCGAGTATCTCTCAAGTATCATATGTACGCGTTAGCTTGAGGCTTGAGGCCAGCTGCGCACCCGACCTGTGTCCTATAACTCAGCGCACTCTTGCCCCGCACCCCGGAAGCGGACTTGCGCCTCGTCACCCGCGACCGTTCCATCCAAATTTCAGATTTCGACCCGAGCGAACAACAAAGTTTCCCACCCTGGTCATCGCCACGCAAGGACAAACCTTGATAAACCGAACCACCCCATCTTCTTTACCTCGCTTAATTTGGCTATCGCAAACTCCTTCCCCGAACTCCCCTATTTTATTCACCACAACAAGCAAACCAAACTCCAGTCGCCTCTCCGATTTCGCATCGTCGTCGTCGCTGTCGCGGATCGCCTAATCATCGTCGTTCATCAATCAAATCCGTCAATCACCATGTCGCAAAAGCACGATCAGCCTCCCGCCTACGGCGCTCCTCCCCCCGGCGCTCCCCAGCAGGCTTACTACCCACCCCAGGGCGGCCCTCCTCCTCAGGGTCCCTATGATCAGCAACAGCCTTACTACCAGCAGGGCCCTCAGATGGGCTATGGCCAACAGCCACCTCCCGGCGCGTATTACCAGCAGCAGGGCCCGTATCCTCCTCAGGGACAGTACTACCCACCGCAGCAACAAGAGAAGAAGGGACCTGTGAGTGAACCCGACTGATATCCGCGCGTCGCGCAGATGCAGGATGCCGATATTGACTGACTTCGATGGTAGGGTTTCTTCGAGGCGTGCTTGGCCGGTATGGCGTGTTGCTGCTGCTTGGACATCCTGTTCTAAACGAACACGACCAATAAATACAACAATAAAACAGCGACAGAAGACAAAAAAGCAGGAGATGGAAATTCTGTCAGCACGATGGAGGAAGGTGAACCTTTATGTATGCCGCGCAGCGTGGGGGGGGGGAGCTCCGATGCGATTTTCCCGATCCTTGCACGCGGACCACCACCTGCAAGACACCATGCAGACCGGCGAATTCGACAAACGGCGCAGCAGGGCCAGGCATACGGTACTTCTTCTGAGAGCTTGCGGCGGCGAAACAGGGAGGATAGCGGTTTTACATATCTCTACCAGGAAGCAATGAACACATGGGGCGTACCGGGGGGTTGCATTTCTCTAGGTTGTGATACGGGAGCACAACGCACAACAACATAACATGATGCGCACTGAGGGGGTTTTCTAGGATGTTACGATGTGGAATATGTTGGCTATTCTGGAACTGGGGATTATTTGTTTACTTATCATTGTGTAATGAGTCGCTAAGGTGGCTTGGTTTTTTTTAGTAAGGCATAAAGTTGGAAGTAATAGAGTGTCAATTTCAGAGGTTAAATACCAACAGGCCGTGTAGCGCAATGGTAGCGCGTTACTTTCCGGTTTCAACTTCACTGTTAAATCTCCAGCTGGTAAAGGTTCTGGGTTCGAGTCCCAGCATGGTCGGTTTGTTTTTGTCACAGACCAACCATATAGCAAGGCAGAGTGGGGACTGCAGCAGGCCGTGGTGACCAATCAAGTAATAGATAGCAGCGGGGCTGCAGGACAGTGGGGCGCTCACCTCTTAGCAGAGGTAAGCCGGCTCGCCAGGAGCGCTGGGTGAGCGAGGTGAGCCAGGATGGATCACCAGGAGCGCTTGGTGATCGAGGTAAGCCAGGTACGGAGGTACCTGGAGGATTGAGGTCTATATATACGGAGGAACTGGCTAGTGTAGCTAGATAGTTCCGCAGTATGCAATTCACAATTGTATTCACGGTATCTTGTGTTTACATTAAGATATCTTGTTGTGCACTGTTTAGCTGCACCGAACTAATTTTCAGAAGTTACTTTTAACCCGTATCCCTTTCAAAGGTTCTGTACAGGGGTTCGTCACAGTTTTGCTTATAGTGGATTAACCACCCCCCTTTTAGCTCTGCCTGCTAATGGACATATACCTATAATAACCAATTAGACTTAAACAATATAATAAGAAACATTATCTTAAGGACTTACTGTCTTTTGAGTCTTATATAAAATGCAGGATTTTATTTACTATTTACTCTTTTCGATATCTTTGCCTTTGTAAGGTAATATTATCAGTTCAATTACATGCTTCAAATCAACTATCTGGGTCTAAACTTAATAAGTTTTGCTTTCTCCTTATCATCATCATCTGCATCTTTATACCCAGTGTGTAACTCGAAATGCCTTATAAATTTGGCCTCCAAAATGAAACAGCTAGAAAAACAGCAAAATGTTTTATTTGCTGAGAGCATGAATTCTATTAACGTGACTAAAGTGTCTTGATAAGAGTTCGGGTGCTTTTGATATTAAGAAACATGTTAATATTATTTACGGTAGGTACTGAGGCTTTTATGAGGTGTGGTAAGTTGGTGTGGATCAGAAGCAGCTTACCTTCTAGGTTGACTATGGTCTATATGAGATTGCTCTGGTTTTCACAAAAGTGTGTGATATGCAAGATAGCTATGAGAAAGAGCGGGGACCAAACCACATCGTCGGGACCTGATGGAGTCTTGCTTGGGTATTCTGTTTCTGAGAATTCTAACTCTATTTGTCTACAGACGTTGACGGCAGGTAGAATGGAGCCATGGGCAGTGGGGATATTGGGATTTTTGACAGCGTACCCTATCCTAGCTTGAAACAAACAACTATCTTTTCCTCCTCAATTTGTGACCCAACGTTGACCACCTTGTGAAAAGAACTCACCGTGAAGACTTGGCAACGTATGGATCCATGGAATGTATAACGAGCGATATCTCCGAAGACATCCATATACTGATTCGTGCACTCGTGGTAGCATCTACCGTCAACCCATTCTTCTTGGCACCCTCCCCCAATCATCCAAAAGCTGCGTCTTATAAAAAGTCCGAAAACTGTTTTTAAAAGCCTTTCAATTAGGGCAATAAGATAGGTCAAACTACTCTCTGTGTTAATTATGTTGTGGTGAGGGTAAGTAGGTACCTAGATGAGGGCGAGTATTGTTATGGCTCTATTGATTTACGGTACATGGTACAGTTTGGCACGGATGTAGCGGCTTACCTTCTGGAAGTAACACAATGAAGGAACCGTACTCGCCAAACCAAATATATGTTGCCGTGAGGATGGTTGCCGAAGCCTCAGCAATGTGGGATGATCATTCGATTTGACTGAGATAAGGACGCGTACCACCGACTCGGAAAAAGCATGTGCAACCCAGGTCTAAACGTGCATTCGTGTTGCTTAATATAGGGCAAACTAACGGGGTTGGAATGCTGGAATGTTTCACGTGTGGTGGGCCGGCACGTGGATTTTGCATGGCGTTGTGTGATCGTCATACGATGATTTCAACTTCATTTCTCAAACTAAAGGGGCAATATACCGCTGTTCTCTCCCCCTCAAGATGCTTCCACGTAGCATTGTAGCGAAGGATTCTGCAAATCTTGCTGTTAACATAGTGGGAACTCGCCTCGCTGTGAATTTTCCTCTCCCCCGACGGACGGAACTAAACGGATACATACATTTCAGCAACTGAGCATCACGACTACCCACCGAGAGCACCCTCTGCTATGGCCTTATATATCCGAGTGAATGCTTGAAGCCCCTCGCTGTCAATGTTTGTATGTATCTTGTCCTTTCCTTGTCGTTCATCTTCCCTGTCCCCTGTCCAAGACGGATAGGTCTCCGCATTGCCGGGTGGAGTCCTTCGGTTACATTCTGTGATGGGACCAGGGCACCTGAAGCTTAAAACGACGTCACTCCTCAATAACCTCGTCGCTGCGCAAGCGTCTATATTCAAGCTGGATATCATACTTTTGTGTGACCTTCGGTTGAGGCCGGTAGGTCGAATAACATGAAGGCAAACAGTGGCGCCGGAAGCTAAACCGACTAACCGCTAATCGAAGGCACATATGATCGAGACCGCATCTTTACACTGCAAAATTATGGTAGCTCAATGGATACCTGCTTGAGGCGGAATATACTATTGCACCTGCGTTGTTTTTACCACACAGTCCTTAGCTAATGACATGCCCAGGTCCTTCCCAGACATCATGACTTCTTCGTGTCGGCTGTGTGGGTGTGGACATGAAGCACTCAGTCCGCAGGACATATATCGGATTTATGCATTCGTCCGTTTTATATTATCGAGGGAATGTGGGATACTGTGTGTATAATTCTCAATAATTTGCATATTTCGCCCACGCCGACGTGTCAGCTCACTATTCAATATTATTGCTATCGGCCGGTATGTCTCAGGTATTCTGTTTTCACATCTCAGGGGAAGGGTTTAAATAGCGGGGGTTCCAGTCCTATGCTCGACTTGGTAATCATTCGATTTTCTTGCCCCCCCCCCCCACCTTTTATTCTTATACTGCTCTGTTTTTCCTACTCGGTGGCTGCAAGTGGGAACCGAGGTCTCGGTGGGAAACTGTCGTGTGGTAGTGCAAGTGCTGCATGGTAGTTGGTGAATGTCGGGTACGAATCGGCTGGTTGCTCGGCATTCCAAATTACCAGAATCAGAGGAGCAGCGATTCGGTTGAATCCTAGCCCTCTAAAACGTTTCGGGGCTTCCAACGGCACCATTGTCATGTCGGGCAAGTCATCGGATATCGTGGAAGAACGACTGGGCTTATTTTAGGTGCCGGGAAGAAGGGCCACCTAAGAGCGCAGAGCCTCCCACCCAATCGAGACAAGTCACTGCCTGACGATGCGCGCAGAACCGAAGAACCGGCTCCTGAAGGCCTTGCCAAGCAATGAATCACATCAAATACACACCCACCTCACCCCCTGATCCCACACCCAGAAGCAGCCGATCCAAGAACCTACCTATCACTGCTCAAAGTTACCCACCCCCACGCCGGCAGGTATGCACCGATCAACGGGACTTCTCCCATACCGAAGCACCACCCCGTCATCTTTTTGGGCCGGTGTCGTCTATATCATGGGCTTTGTTGCAACCTCGATAGTATGGAGATGCTCGGTCAACCAATCCATAGCTGGCTTGATGGAATTTCTGGGCAATGAAGACGTTCGTTGAAGAAGGGATTCGATAGACTGCCCAGGCCCGCGCATCTGGCAGATGGCACTATGCAGTGGCTCAGATGGGCCCCCCTGTGGTGGTCTACCTAAGGGTTCCCTCCAGCTCCACGTTTTTGGCTTGAGCCACACCGAATGTTCGTGTGTGGTCCAGCAGAGGTGCCGCGCCATATAACGGGCGAGATCCGCGGTGGGCGCTCACTGGTCATCAATTCGATGTGTTTCTTGACTGGCCTGCCTTTCCCCTCCTCCGGAGGATGAATCTAATAAAATATATTTCTCCTACCCATTGCTGTTTGCCGTAGACTTTTGTCACATAACCTGCTACCGGCCCCCCATGGAGCCATCACAACATTCTTCACCGCTCAATCGACACCGGTCCGGCGGACTGTCGACGGACGAGGAGGATGGGACTCGGATTAATATTTCACCCAGAACACTTTCGCTTTTTTCCCCATCCCTCCACAACAGCACCCTGTGCCAATTTTTGGCGACGTCATCAGAATCTGGGGAAATCAAGGTCACATCTACCTGGAGCTACCCTCCGCAAATAGCTTTGAACATGCATCTCGAAGTACCTTTGCTAATAAAAGCTGAGTGAATTTTCATTTTCAACATGCTCCAGCTGGGTTAAGTTCGCTGCCGGGCAGCAACAGGTCTAGTGTCCCTCTCTCGAAGAGCACCCATGTCCATTACCAGTGCAAGAGAAACCAGACCGGCTCTGGGTCACTTGGTCTGGGGAGCGGCCCCACCTCAGAGGCCGTTGTGTTGCCGAACGCTCCTATCTGCCGCCGGGTGTTTTGCTGTCACTCGTCTTGTCAGCAGTGGGACCGAAGTCATTCCACGTTTTCGACCGATGTGCAACTTCGATGAAGTCTTAATACCAACAAAGGTGGGTCCTTGGCTTAGCCCATCTGCTTCCGCAGCAGCACCGCTCTTCTCTTGTTTCCTTGACAATATTTAGGTAGTTGCGTGACAGGGGTCAATTTTCATCGACCATCTCTGCCATACTGTCCACAGCTCTGGCATTCCCTTCTCGTCCTTGCGTTGCAGATTTGGAGTTCGTCAGTGCCTTCAACATCCACCCTCTCGCGCACTCTGCAACTTGGTTTCGGTACGGAATTCGCTACCCTCGAACTTCGTAACCCCCTTCCCGCCGCCGTAGATTCAGCACTGCCATATTTGACGGCATCCAGAATGGCTCAGCCGGTACACGTCGTCGTCATTACTCCAGCCCCCGCGACACCTAAAAACCCAGAAGGTGGCCATCGGATCGTATTGTGAGGCGTTGACCTTGTATGTGAGCCCGGTTGTTGAAGTCTTTCCTAGTTTCATGTCAGCGCTAACACCGCCGATAGCAGGATGCTCACATGGACCGCTAACGGTCTATCCCTGGCCGCAATGAAGCATCACCTCAACGGGGTGAACCGCCCAGCTGTTATCATTTACAGGCATACGCGCCAAGGCGCCCACCGACCATCGTCCACCCTTGCCTCTTTGTTGTCGTTCGCCTTCCTGGTTGTCGATGATATCCTCAAGCCCGAGTATGCGAGGCGGCACCTACTTTTTGTTTTCCAACTCTATCACCATGTTCTGTGCGGTCCCGTTGGTCGAGTTCTAGGTCGCCAGGCTATTTCCGTTCCGGGTGTCTGGTTGTTGGACTTGTCGCCGTTATTCCTCATCGCCCATCCTCGTCGCCCATTCTCATCACCAATCCTCATCGCCAATCCTCATTGGCATACTTGATCATCACTCCTTGTGACAATCTTTGTCACGAAACTTTATCTTGATTCATCCGTGGTGTTGATAATCGGAATAGCTTGCCGTGCTGTGGCACGAAAATTAGCATTGTGCTCTCAGGTTTAAAGGATAGATTGGGTGAGCAATCGATGGGTGAATGGATGGGAACAGATGAACGCGAGATAATATGTAAGAGGAAACATGACACTGGTGTGAACGTCAAGGGGGAGGCTTGGGAACAATATATGAGACTTTGATGACTTGGCGAAACGACAATAATCCTTTCCTGCATGCAACCCCTCTCGCCTCTCAAGATGCGATTCGCTGAAGTGCTCAGCCTTGCCGCTCACCACCCTCCTCCTTCACAGCCTAATGAATCTACTCCAACTCTGCCAAATACATGCCATATTGTGCCAAGGGAAAAAGGATTACTGCCAAATGTGTTCTCCTCCGGTATTTAGAACAAGTGGTTTAGAACAGGTGGTGAGAGCGTTGAATTTATGCATGGAGTCAAAGTTTGCTGTGAACGATCTTGTTCATGACATTTCGGTCTCTTCCACAGCCTTGTCCCCTTAAATGTTCATCTGTGGCTATAACATAAGCCGTGCATGATGCACGTTCTATACATGATTGCGCCCGTCGAATATGTGATGAAGCGATTCTGCTATGCTGCGTTGGGCATAATGTGCAAAGCTAGGCACTCTTCAGGCCACATTTGGGCAGACGAGGCTCTGTATGAGAAACCAGAGGGATGGAGCATATGAGCCCAGAAGAATCCTAGTTTCGGTCTTGTTTCATCTTTTGATCTCTCCACTTCTTCTCTTCTTCTGACATCTAGCCTGATCTTACTTTAGCTTTGCGGAATCCGAGTACATCGAAGTTGTAATGGGGCCGACAGAGCTTGATAACCTCAATCTCTCCGAGAGAGGAGAAGTACCAGCAGCTGGGACGCGTGAGTTCACCAGTATCTTGCCAAGTCCTTCCACCACACCTACTAATGCTTGATTTCAGGAGCTGGCAGTCTTGCCAGTACCTGCTCAACTCTGCAAGGCACAGGGGTTTCCTGCCCAGAAGGTGAAGAGAACAAGGGTGTGTAGACCTAGTGCCTCCTATATTTCTTTCGATTGACTGGGCTAATTTCTTAACATGTCTGTAGATGAAGCATTGGGACGTGCTAAGTGTGCTCTTTATAAAGAGTTATGTCAAGAGTGGTGCTTTTTCCCAGCCCTCCAGGCACAGTTCTCTCTGGCTCTGGATTACTGGGCCGCAAAGGTTCTCGGGACCTTTCGAGACCTCAAATCCCTGGAGCGAGAAAACCATGCCCAAGGCTGTCATGACTACAAGGAACATCGGCCTGACAACGAGTATGGAAAGAAAAAAGAGGAACTGGCCATCAGACTTACCAATGAGCTCAAGGAATTCTGTAAGGCTTTCAATCTCTCCTGAAACCCTTCCCTTACCGAAGCTGAGTGTCAAACGCTAATCGAAGATCTCCGTCATAACCTTAGCAACATTGTTCAATTCAGCCAATGTCATCATGCATCAACATACCCCGAATGGCAGCATGGTGTCTGAATACAGGCTGTGGTCTTCCAATGTGGTAGGCTCAGATTCATCGGACCGCGAACTCTTTGCCGAGAACTACAGGGCCTTAGGCCCACGGCCAAGCATGATTGATGAGTTTGTGCATTCAGTTGTCAAGACTTCCGCGATGTTATGGATTCGGTTCAGGGTAAATACTCGGTCTGCTGCTATGTTTGCATACTTGATCTCTTAACTGGGCACTGACATGATATTTCTTCCCTCCAGTCCTATGCCGCCCGTCTCCGGTCCACGAAAGACTGTTCTCCAGGCCCGGTCTCCATTATTCTTAGCTATACTACTCTTCACGTTCTCTCCCACCTCCTCGTTGTTGTCATGGCCGGGGTGTTCTTCGTCTTGCCGCTCACCATGATGTACTTGGTAACGATGAAGAAGGCGGAGATTGTCCTCGTTACGATCACCTTCAGCCTTTTGTTCTGTGTCGGGTCATTTTACTTTGGTGGTGGCAGGGGCGGACTCAAAACTGACACCAAGTTCCTGTTGTTGTTTGCGTACACAAGTGTGATGGCAACCTTGCTTTCCAACTTTGCGCCGCATCAGGAGCAGCAGCATAGTCAGCAGTGTTCATGTCCCGAATCGAGCTGAAGAGACGGACACCCCTTCACACAAAAGTCGAGGTCATGACCTCTATACCTTTTCTATCTTCTGGGCAGGATCCTTTCTTATATTTCTTTCTAAATTTCCTTTGGCTATCGGTCTTTAAATCGTTTCCCGGACATAACATGTCACACCGTTTTTAAGTTTACAAACTTTCTATCTTCACTTCTCACGGCACCACCTTATTATTTTCTTACATCTACCTGTCTAGTCGGTATTATTTTCTGGGCTACGCGCTATAAAGTAATGCGTATTCGAGCTGTATAATAAACACACAGCAGTTATAACAGACAGGACTATATGGAAGTTTTCTACTCCAATCAAAGCATGCAAAGTGTAAAGTCTTCAACCTGAACCCTTGATGGCCGCTCACCAAGGCTTATACAGAGTTATACCTTGGCCGTGGAATTTTTTTATCAGTTTTTAACTATTTATATCTTGCTATCGATCCAGGCCCAAAGCCTCTCAATTACAGCTCTTGGAGTATTTAATCCCAGCCTTTGAACTCTTCAACCCCGGCCTTAAAGTTATTGGTCCCAGCCTTCAAAGTTTTTAGTGTCAGCAATTTAAAGTACATAACTCTGATACACAGCACTGAAAGAGACCAAAGACTACAAGACCCCATCGATATACATTGATCCTCTTACAGAGGACATCCCCACCATCCTTTCACACCTGTTAATCTTCTTTTAAGGCTTAAAAGATAAGAAACACTCCTCATGGCTATTTCGAAAGGCTTCTCAGCTATCTTTTAATACCCAGTAGCTATCTTTCAGTACCTAGCAACTATCTTTTAACACCTGGTGACTTATCCTTTGATACCTAGTGACTATCTTTTAGACCATACAGACGATTTTTTAATGCCTATCAAGTATCTTTCAATACATATATACTATCGTGTGAGGCATATGAATTATCTTTTGACACCTATAAACTATCTCTGAAGCCGTAGTAACCATCTTTTGAGGCCTTGATTTCAAGTATCATGCTATATAAAAGCCTTCTCCCTGCCTGAGAAAGACACACATGCTCATAACTCAACAGTCCACACCAGACAAAAACGCACAGTTTTCAATGCAAGCTAACATAACATATTATTCTTCCTGCCAGAAACACTATCACCCCCCCTATCTACACCCTAATCTTTACCTCCTAGGACGCTTGCTGGGCCTAGCGTTCTTTTCCCTCTTCTTTTCAGCGATAGCACGTGCCTTCCTGATGTCCGTAGCGTTCTTCAACTCCCGCTTCGAGCCTTCCCCATCCTTGAACTTGCCAATCCTCTTTTCCTTGGCTTCGGCCACCCGCTTCTTCCTCACATGATAATCATCACGGAATTTGTCAGCTTCCTTGGGGGCCTTTTCTTGCTTGTGCTTATACCTGGTGCCACCTTCCTGGTGGCCAGGACCGTTGGCAAGCCTGGCCAGGCCAGGCTTTTCCAATTCGCCAATACCAGGCAGGCGGCCGATACGGTTGGACTTCTTCCACTTGTCGAATCTGCCGGACTGGAAGGACGCCGCGATCTTGACACCAGACTCACCACGGATCATCTTGACGCCCTTGGAGCCGTCGTCATCGTTGGCACGGGCGACGTATTTGCTGTGGCGCTTATCCCAGCGGAGTTTGGAGCGGGTAGGCAAGCCGAAGGCCTTGGCGCCGTCGTCGTTGGTGAGGTCCATGGCAGCGTCGCGGGCGGCGGTGACGAAATGAGACGAGTTGACACCACCGGAGTGGACGCCATAGGCCTTTTCTTCTGCCGCCGAAGTCGTGCGTGGCGTGTAGGACATAAAAATCTCGGGGTCTTGGAATGACGCTATAGGGTCACCACCCTTTTGCTTCTTGCTTGACTTGGACGAAGTAACCGTGACTTCCATTTCAGAGTCCGAGTCGTCCTCTTCTTGCTCCGACTCCGACACATCCTCCTGCTTTGCGGGTTCATCGTCAGAATCCGAGTCAAATTCGCTGCCAGCCTTGGGTCCCTCGCCATCTGACATGTCAACATCAGAATCGGTTTCTCCCTTCGTGATTCTCCGTGGCGCGACCTTGGTTCTGAAGCTGCGCATCACCTCCGCCGCTTTGTTCCTGTGGGACTTTCCTTGGGGCCCAATTTCGAAGACTGTCTCCTGAGGCTTGAACAAGCTGATCTTGGAGAGGAGATTGTCACGGGCTTCCTCGGCATTGATCGCCTCCACGCCAAACAAGGGATGAAGTTGTGTCCAACCCTTTGAGTTGATGATCTCACGAGCTCTCTTGGCACTGGAGCTGGAAGCCGAGTTTCTGGTCCTCATATAGAGCTTCTCAGCCTTGAGCGTAACACCCCTGAGCGCACTGATGTCGCCCTCTTCGTTCAGAACCTTGTTGACCCACTCAGTCTGGTTCTCGAGCTCCGATCTCTTCAGCGCACCGAGCACAACATCCTGAGCAAATGAGGGGTCTTGTCCATCTTTACCCATAACCAGCCTCCGTCCGAGGAAAAGCTGAAGATCGATGAGATAGGGCAGATCAGACTCCCGTACAAGAGCATAAGCCCAACCGCGCTGGCCAGCACGAGCCGTACGACCGACACGATGGACGAAAACCTTGGGCTGTGGAGGAAAGTCGTAGTTGATGACATTGGCGAGAACTGGAATATCGATACCACGAGCCGCAACGTCTGTGACTACCAGAATATTCGTTCTTCCTCGTCTAAAGTCATCAACTTGGATCTTCCTAGCGGTTTGATCCAAAGAACCGTAAATGTAGGAAACAGCGAAGCCGGCGTGGCGAAGGAGATGTGCAATGTACTCGACGTGATGCTTGGTAGCCGTGAAGATGATTGTAGAGTGTGCTGTCGGCTTCTCCTTGAAACTGAGTCTGTCGCTGCCACGCTTGCGCTTTCCCCGAGAGTTATTTGGATCAGCCTCGTCTTTTGGTGCTCCTTCTGGCGTTCCCATTGGCATCTTGATAATATCGTGAAGAATATGCAACAGAGCGCCCTCCTTCTCACCACCCTTGACAGAAAAGAAGGCACTCTCCATATCGGGAGACACCTTGGTCTCAGCGTCCAATCTCACCAAGCTCGGCTCCTGTAAACCAGCTCTGGCAAACTCAACCAAGGAAGATGGCAGAGTAGCCGAAAATAGCAGAGTCTGTCTTGATGATGGCAGCGCGTGAAGAATCTCGGTTAGCTGCTCGGCAAAACCCATTTCGAACAGGCGATCGGCTTCGTCGAAGACCACGTATTTGATCGAGGAGAGGTTGAGGTTCATTTCAACCTTCAAATGCAGGAAACGACCAGGGGTAGCAATGACGATATCGGGGTTCGTGGCCATCTGGGCGAACTGCTCCTCCAGGCTGTCACCACCAACGAGGAGAATCGTCTTCAGATCTGTGCCGCGACCCAGTTCCTTCACAACCTTCAATGTCTGTAGCGCCAGTTCACGAGACGGCGAGAGAATCAAGGCTCTGGCGCCGACCTTGGGGCTGTGTCCCTTCAAACGCTCGATCATGGGGATGACGAAGGCGGCTGTCTTTCCTGAACCTGTGCGCGCCATACCCACAACATCTCTTCTTTCCAGGACCAGAGGGATTGTCTTCCTCTGAATTGGAGTCGGGACAGAGAAGCCCTTCTTTGTGATGGCTCGTAATAAATTCGCATTGAGGCCTTTGAGAACCACATGTTAGCCCCCTATCACCGTGGAACGTTTGATTTTCCAAGGAATACGTACCCATGGCCTGGAAACCACCACCCTTCTTTACCGACTTGCCCTGCACATTCGAGCTTTTCCTGTTGGACTTGCGCTGAGCGGTAGCAATGAAGTCCTCATCGTCCTCGGCATTCGAATCGCCATCGCCTGCTGTTAAGAGATCTCCGAAATCAAGATCGAAATCCGCCTCACCGCCCTTCTTGACAACCTCAAAATCTCCATCACTCTCGTCGGCAAACAGGGACCCCGCAATATCGACCTCGTGCTCCGACGGAGTCGGGGACGCAGCGCGTCTCTTCATCGTAGGCGAATGGTATTATACTGCACTAATTGAACGTAGGATGGTCGGAGTTGAAAAAGGGAACTGGTATTTGATATTCGGCGCTGACAGCAGTGAAAATAGAGCTCAAAGTGGTGGATGGTGTTGCTAGAGAGCTGTTGTAAATTTTCGGCATCACTGAGCCTGCTGTTACTGCGCTGCTCAGCGAAATTTTAGTGGGGCCGATTCCTTATCGGTTATCAATCGCTCGTCAACATTGGCGCATTGCGACCTGCATCAAACGAACCCTGTATGAGCGAGGTGTCGCACCTGCTGCTTCCTCCTTCCACACTTTTCTCCCATCCTCGTGCAGCTGAATTCGAACTTCCACCTTTCCCTCAACAACCACCCGCGTGAAACAAATTAATCCCTCCCACAACCACCCAAGATGTCAACCCCAAAACCAACAGAAAGCGCGGCGACACCAGCCGATCCCGCCCCAGTTGACACCCGCGATGCGCTCGAAGTCCTCGAGTCGGAAGCCAAGGAGTGGGACAAGGTATGCGATCGCAAACATCACCCGCCCTCATCACCATCCCATCCCTCCCCTGTCCAATCCCCATTCTCCCAACAATGGTACTAACACCCCTTATCCCCCAGGACGCCGAAATCGACCGCATCCTCAAAGCCTTCCGCCTGAACGCCTACGCCGTCCTCGGCCTAAAACCCGGCGCCCCCGAATCCGACATCAAAAACCTCTATCGCAAGAAATCCCTCCTCATCCATCCAGACAAGACCAAAAACCCCCTTGCCCCCGACGCCTTCGACCGTTTGAAAAAAGCGCAGACCGAGCTCATGGACGAGAAGCACCGCGCCCGACTCGACGAGGCCATCGCCGACGCTCGCATGCTCTTGATGCGGGAGATGAAGCTCACTGTTGACTCCGAAGAGCTCAAAACCCCAGAGTTTGAGAAGAAGTGGGATGAAAAGACGGTACTTGTGCTGGTGGAGAATGAGCAAAGGAGGAGGCGGCAGATGAAGGCGCAGTTGCAAGAGGAGGGTAGGGAGCAGAGGAAGCAGGAGGAGGAGTTGGAGCAGAGGAAGAAGAAGAGGCAGCATGAGGAGGACTGGGAGAAGACGAGGGATCAGAGGATTGATAGCTGGAGGCAGTTTCAGAAGGGGAAGAATGGGGAGCCGGAGAAGAAGAAGAAGAAGAAGTTGAAGCCGATTGGGTGAGCTGATGGGGGGGTTAGCAGCACAGATGAGATACGCAAGACTTCAGATGAGATGGAATAGAACGAACTGACGGGATGGGATAAGCATAACAGGGCATCATCTCGAACGAAGCAGCAGGGATTTGAGCTTATGGAAGTGGAAGGGCATTCATGTCGTGAGTTACATTTCTGGGTGAAGGAGAGGTAGAGAGGACGTTGTTTGACCCCTGACCATATCATCAGTTGCCAGCATACTCTACACATTAGCGTGGAAGTCATCTTGCCCCAGCCTCCTTGGGTGGTGGTTTATCCTCTCCTGAAAATGGTCTGTACACACACATCAAGCTCCATGCTGTGAACCGTTTCTCTTTATTGACGTTTCTTTCAGGTCTCAAGGTAAGATTCCCAAGATCCGTGATGCCAAATGCCTTTTTTGTGTGGGTCTTGGTTGGATGTCCTGTCCACAAGCCATCCCTTTCAAGGTGAGATCCGCGTGGTTCGTAATCAAGACGACAAACGCATCTTGGAAAATGCGACTTCACCTATTAGAAAATGAGCCATCGTAGTTGAAATACCATCAGCCTTCGTTCATGGGGATAGCGGTCCCTCAAGAGTACAATATGGACAACATGACGCAGGCTTGACCATGAACCCTTTATGAAAATCCATTTCAGATCATGTATCCCACCGCAAATCTCCTACCTCATAGCCATAGCCTTCTCATTCAACACCCTCTCCTCCTTCTTCTGCTTCCCCTCCTTGGGCGCATGAGTCTTCTTATACTTCAAAAACCTCACCAAATTCAACACCGCCTCATCCGCCTTATCCCTCAACTCCCCCTGCGCCCTCTTATCAATTCCCTTCGCCAACGCTCTCAACTTGGGCAAAAACTCCTCCAGATGCTTATGGAAGCCCTCCTTCCAGAACACCTCCTTATCATTTTCCGTGGCCTCATCACCATAAATGTCAAAAATCTGGTTGACAGCCTCTACAACATCAGCCGGTGGGATGGTCTTGTCCTGCTCACAGCTCTGGAGGAGAGTGATCAAAAAGACGCCAATCTCGCGGTTGAGATCAATAGGAGCTGTGTCCCTGGCCAAAGAGCCAAGGATACCAACGCACTTGACGCCCAGACCCTGGAGGGGGTCAACCTCCTTTCCTTCTTCTGGTTTTGGCTGGTTCTTCGCGGCCTGGTAGAGCGCAATGAACTTGCGATGTTGGCCTGGAGTCAACGGTACATTTGCACCCAAGCTGCGGGCAATAGCCCAGGCAAGACTGGCTATTTGGGTGGCGAGGTCGAGATCAGCATTGTCAGCCTCGACGATGGGAGTGATGGCCTTGACCCAAATCTTTTTGGCGGCTGGATACCACGCATCATAGATGTTGGAGTTTTCGCTCTCAGAGAAGTCGATGCATGCGACGGTCCAGGCAATATTGTTGAGGGCCGTAAGGGCATTTGACTGGATTGCGAGGTTCTCTTCGCCATCGATCTGAATATTGGATAGACGAACCAATTGCGGGATAGCTTGTTGAATGAAGGCGCCGAGCGTGGGAAGGTCGTCCAGATCTCCAGAGTCAAATGGGTCGTCGGCTCCTGTTACCTTTTCCATATCGGCTTCCAGATCGGCAATATCGTCATCGTCATCCTCCTCGTCTTCATCCATGTCGTCATCCTCCTCATCGTCCTCTTTGTCTTCGTCATCACCGTCCCCGGCATTGGAAGCTCCGTCCACATCCATCGCGTCGTCACCCTCAGGCTTGTCCTCAAGTCCGTTCCATTCCTCCTCCTTTGGTTGAGAACGGTTGCCCTTCTCAAGAGTCTCCTGTAAATCGGCACCGATAGAAGCCAAAATCTCCAAAGCTAATTGGACAACAGCTCCCTGGTTGGCGTTCCCATTAGCCACAGCGCTCGCCGAAGGTACATGTTCCAATGCACGAGTGAGGGTTCCAATAAGAACTGCATCGCAAGCGCCGTCCTTCCCGGGGCTGTGGTCGAGCCATTGTAATGACGAGAAAACATTGTGAAGAACACCGCACGCCATCACCGATCGAGGACCGGAGCCAGAGGCAAGTTTGAGAAGGACGTCGTAGCATCTAGTTTCCTGGTCGTTCGTCATGGCTTGGCCCAGCTCGAGGTTGTCTTCTGAAAGTGTCGTCAGGCAGGAGAGGGTCTCCTCGTAGATCTCTTGCGGCGTGGACTCTGAGGCAGCCAGACGGAAGAGGAATTTGACGATGGTTTGGTTGGCCACGATAGCGGTGGTGATCTCCTCGCGGGCCATGCCGAGAAGATTGAGGAGAGCAAGAAGGGAGCTTGAGATCTCCCATACAATACGCTGCTGAGCCTTGGTGAGCTTGGAGAAGACAGGCTCAGTTGATGTGAGTGTGTCAAGAATCTATGACCTGGTTAGCTCTGGCAAGTTCATAAGAGTTGTAGGTCACATACAGCCTTGGCAGCATGCTCGATGGCAGTCAGAATGTCGAGTCTGTATAGGTGTACACAGAAATCGGCCTCCTCTTCCTCAGCGAGAACCTTGAGAATCTCCCAGCCAGCAGCTCGGCTGTCGATGCTGTTGTCTGTGAGTGTCTCGGTGAGAACAATGTGAACAACCTGCTCCCTGAGAAGCAGCTTTCTGGTTTTGGCATCTTGAACGATGTTGGCGATGGCGCCGGCAGCCTGTGTTCTTGATTTGGCTTCGGGGTTCTTGAGATCCTTGAGAATGGGGAGAATTTTGCTCTCACGGAGCTTTGCAAGCTCTGGATCAGATGGTGGTTTTGAAGCCCTTGCGATGGGGTCTGCGCGGCTGGCACGCACTCTGTTCTTTCTTGCTTTGCCCATTTTTGTATCTGGAAAATGTCTGATGGTTATGACGTGGCGTTTATGAGAGAAATATCTGGAAATAGGGTCCCACGAAAATTTCCCAGGTTTGCTCAAGGCAGAAAGTAAATAAAATCTAGATGGTTGTCGCAACAACAATTGTGGAAGAAAAGTTGAGAAAAGCCCTTCAACCCCACACTCGTCCCCCGCCATCCACACAAATTGAACCCTGGTCCATGAGATGCGGAGATCCAGGGTCGGGCACGAAGTACCTTTTGTGACACCAGACATGTTGAATTTCTCAAATGACAGAGGTTCCACACTTAGACTTGATGTTCAGAATATTCATACTGGCTCATGTTAAGGTGTTAAGCTAGCCAATGTCTCACATCGTTACACTTCATTCCCTTCCCACTCAAGTAGATGAGAACACAGGTCGCAAACAAAAGTACTTCGGCTGCTAAACAGCTCCAAGGGTTCGTTGATGCGGGACATGGCAGCCCTGTAAGTGGAGCCGAGCTGTCTTGGCTTTAGCGAGCCACGTTTAACCCAGACGCGCCAATCTAACCACCATCGACCTCCATCCACTATCATTGCCGAGTTCGGGGTCCTAGATCAAGCTCCCGAGGCATCAAGGAAGTCAACCAGACTGGCGACTAATATTGATTGAATGAGATGCGGTTCCGCGCACACCAGCCAATCTCTCATCGTCTGAGACACTGAGCTATTACTTTATATCGTGGTTGATGAACGGGAATGCACTCAGCTGGCATCAATCGCTGAGTGCAAGATGGGACTTTTCACCAACAACGACGACGCAATGGTTAAGAAGGACGATGATCTCAAGCGGGGGAAGACGCTTCCCACTCGCGCACCATGGGCACCAGCTTCAGCACCCAGAACGCCCCCGCGCAAGACGATCAAGCGGCTCGTGATTGCTTTGGCTGTGGGATTCTTCGTCTATTTGTTCATCAAGAATCTACCGCCAATGGATGATCAAGTACGCAGAGACTACAGGCATCCGAGATATTCAGATCGCAAGCCGGGAAAACAGCCAGGCCCGATGCCAAAGATGAAGCCCCCACCACCTGAGCGCATACCGGAGAAGCCCGTGGTGAAGGACATCCCGAGTGAACAGCCTGCTGCTGTCGTGGTACCCCCTGTCGTAACTGACACTGCTACCAACGCCAGAACATATGATGGCCCTATTTACTTCAGGAAGCTGGCTGCGACATTACAAGCCATTGAGAGCAGTACGAGCGGCTTCAGCGCGGTGAATAAGAATGTGCTGTTTGCCGCTGCTAGCTTGAAGAGCGCCTCAGTCTTGCTCCCAATGGCATGCAAGATGGGGACTGAGCTTCGAAGCTATGTGCACTTTGCATTGATGGGTGGTAGTGAGATTGATTTGGATGAACTTCAAGCTGTTAACGGCATCGACGAGTCCTGCCAGATCATCTTTCACGGTAAGAGGACAGATCATGTGCCGATGCCTATATCAATGCTAATCCGTGAACCACCATAGATGCGAGGCCTGATTATGCCTCAACCTCGACATTGAGCCGCCTCGAAACATGTGCTACACGTGGATTATGTGAGCTTCCTTTCCATGACAGTTTGATAACACACCTCTCACACGCTGATAGACCACATTTACAAGTATATGCATCCTCAAGTTCTGTTTCTTGATGCTTCTGGTGTGGAAGAGCACTATTTTCTCGATGGCATCCGCAAACAAGCAGACGTCTCTGGAGTGCCCATTATTGAGCTGCCCAAGAATGCTCACTCACGGTTATCTTGGATGACGAAACTCGATAGCTCGTCGTTGGCGGCTTGGAATAGGATCAGCGTCGATATACTGATCCATGCGCCACCTGTAGGCTCTGGTAGCCTGATTCGATTGCTTCAATCATTATCAGCAGCTGATTTCTCAGCGGGCCCAACGCCTCACCTCACCATCGAACTTCCTCATGACATTGATCGGGCTACGACAGAATTCTTGAGGGACTTTACTTGGCCACCAAGCCGCACACACAGCCTTTCCAATGTGCGGCAACTTACACTCAGACATCGCATACCTCGGGCTAGGTTGACCGAAGAAGAAAGTTCGGTCCGTCTTCTCGAGTCCTTCTGGCCGGTCAGTCCGCGATACTCTCACGTGCTGGTACTATCACCCCAAGTCCAGCTATCGCCTGGATTCTTTCACTGTAAGTCTTTTCTCAACCAGCTCAACTGGCCCGGTAACTAACATCCACCAGACCTGAAATTCACTCTGCTGGAATATCTCTACTCATCCAATTCCCTCCTCCAAAGCTGGGATTCCCGCCTGCTCGGTATCAGCCTCGACCTGCCCCCCACAACGCTAGCAGACACCTCAAAGTCATTCAGCCCACCTGCTCCCAAACCCATGACACAGGCCAAAGACTCCAAAAAGCCATCACTATCCTCTCAAACGTCTAGCTCAGCTCCTTTCCTGTGGCAGTCCCCCAACAGCAACGCCATGCTCTACCTCGGCACTAAGTGGACAGAACTCCACTCTCTTGTATCGAACACTATCGAACATCAACACTCTACCTCGTCCCTCTCAACATTTTTCACCACCAAGGCCGTTAGCAAGAGGTATCCCTCCTGGCTGGAACACGCCCTCAGGCTTTCAAGAGCAAAGGGGTATTTCGCGCTGTATCCTAGTGAGGCTACTGCTATATACTTGGCTACGACGCATAATGAGTTGTTTAAGGGGCCGGAGGAGTACGAGAAGGAGCTGGAGGTAGATGATGGGAGAGGAGAGGAGGTCAGGCTCACGTCTGGGCCGCTGTTGGAGACGGTGCGGTTGTTGGGGTTTGATGAGATGCCAATTGTGAGTTGGGAGGGCAAGGAAACGGGTTTGGAGGGGTTGGATGAGGGGGCGGAGGAGTATGTTAGGGAGTTTAGGAAGGCGGTGGGGGGAGGT